CTTTGCAGAAAGCGGGCAGTTCTCTGACTCACCTGGTGACCGAGGCCTCCCGATTTGTGCTTTGGACCGGCCATCGGTCGCTGCGGCTCAGATGTGACAACGAGCCGGCCATCCTGGCAGTTCAAACCGGGTTGATGAAGTCTCTGAGGAACCTTGGCATAGATGTCTCGCGTGACAATGCGCCAGTTGAGTCGCATCAGTCCAACGGCCCGGTGGAGCAGGTGGTGTGCAGTGTGCGCCAGCATGCTGCTGCTTTAATGCATGACCTGGAGAAGGCTTGCGGTGCCTCTGATGGCCAAGTGCTGTTCCCGCCTCAGCACCCAAATTATGGATGGTCGCTTTGCCATGCCTGTTGGTTGAGGAATCGCTACACGCCCATGCATGGTGTCACGCCATATGAAGCTGTGACGGATTCTGTTTACAGTGGCACCATTTGCCGGTTCGGCGAGAAAGTGCTGGGCTACCTCAAGCCCGATGGGAAATCGTCCGCTCGATGGCGACATGGATTGTGGCTTGGCAAAGCTGTTGGCACTGACACGCACATTGTTGGAGTGCCTGGTGGTGTGTTTGTTACTCGCTCCGTGCGCCGCTTTAGCGACAACTTTGATGCAGATCTTGCTGCAAGCTTCGATGTGTGTGTTTGGGAGCACGGCCTTTCTTCCATCGGTGGCAAGCTTGTACTTGGGCGAAAGAAACCTGCAGCCCCTGTGGCTGTGCCTGTGCCAGCCTACGTCGGCCCTAGGCCACCTGATGTTGCAATTCAGCCTGAAGCTGAAGCCGGAGCCCCACCGTCGCCTTCGCAAGTTGCAGGCAGTGATTCTCCTGTGTCTCCTCGACCGAGCTCGCTGTACAATCCTTCACTTACCTCGAGCCCGCAAGATGATGATGCCTCTTTGCAAGGTGATGCGGGGATTGCGAGCGAGGCGGGGATACCTGATCCACTACAAGCACTCAGTGGCCGAGAAGCGGGGAACGCTCCGGCCCCAGTGATCGCTGACCAGCTGGCTTTGAGCGAGAACCCTCGCCCTGTGAAGGCTGCACGAAGGTCTGAGACTACACACCCGAGTGGTGCTGATGTTGAGATGGCCCCTGAAGGGCAAATTTCTTTGGTGGCCCTAGACGGTTGCAGTGTGGATGAGTTCTGCCGAGGCGATGTGCTTGTGGCCTCTGGTGAAGAGACGCCTTGTGCGGTGCACATCATGCAAGTGAGCTATGAACATGAAGATGAAAATCATGTTCTGACGTTCGATGGCGACACATTGGAAGAGCTCGAAGATTACGATGGAAAGTTTTCTTGATGATCAAATCGGCGATTCAGAGTTGCTGCCTGAGCTGTGTTTGCCAAGGACGTCCGAGATTGAACCTAGTCTCTCAGGGGACGCGTTGGCCGTTCTCGACGAGTTGGCCGATGCTGTCGAGATTGACCGCCTGAAGAAGATGTCTGTTCTTCTTCCAGAGGATGCCGCCTCTGGAGAGCAGTACACGGGGCAATCGCCCACAAAGCTCACGACGAGGATGGTTCGCACGTGGAGGGAAAAGACAGTCGGCAACGAGGCAGTGTGGTATAGAAGAAGTAGGTACGTGGCCAGGGAATACTCCTGGTTGAATGTCCGCCACGACCTCTTCGCGCCAGCCTCTACTGCAGTTTCGAATCGACTACTCCCTATTCGCTTTATGAGCCACGAGCAGGACGCAAGCGACCCCTGGATTATGGCGTCAATGGACATAAGCGACGCATACCTCAGCGTCCCCCAAACCAGACTTGTGATCGTCCAACACGCGGGCGTCAGCTATGTGCTTGGTCGGGTATTACCCGGACAACGGGACGGATCGAAAGCTTGGTATGAGTCGTTCTCGGCATTTTTGGAAGAAGCGTTAGGCTTTGAGAAATGCCCGGCGCTGCCGTCGCTCATCAAAGAATCCACCACCCAATTCGCGATGCAGCTACATGTTGACGACATGTTGGCAGTGGGCAGCAGACGCTACCTTCTTGAGAAGCTGAAACCCACTCTTGAGTCCAAGTACCGCGTGAGCATCAACATTTTGGAAGGCCCGGGAGACTGCATTTCTTTTCTGAAAAGACATCACACGTTGCTGCATGACGGCCGGATGCTGTTGACTCCTTCTGCAAAGCATTTTGAGAAGCTGTTTAAAGTGATGAAGGTTGATGAGCGCAGTGCACCCAAGAAGACGCCGTATGCGTCCCTTCTTGACGAGGTTGACCAAAGTGCGCCGTTGAAGGCAGAGGAGGCTAAGGCTTTCAGGTGCGCCATTGGCATCCTTTTATATCTTGCTGTCGACCTCATTGAGTGTCAAGGGGCCATCCGTGCTTTGAGCAGTTCCATGTCGTCGCCCACCAAGAATGCACAAACGGCTTTGAGACATTTGCTAAAGTACCTTCTGGATGGACAGCATCATGGGTTGATGTTGTGCCGTGACAATGTCCACTGTGGCCGATCAGGTGAGCTTTCTCCATCGACCTCGCGAGCCATGTGCATCGAGTCTTACTCTGATGCAGATTGGGCAACGCACAAGGGCAATCGCCGATCGGTGAGCTCGAGCATGGTCTTCGTGTCTGGCTGCCTCCTCTACAGCAGTGCCAGAACCCAACGGGTAATTGCCCTCAGCAGCGGTGAAGCGGAATTACTCTCCGCCACCTCGTCCTTGTGCGACGCACTTTTCGTGCGGCAGCTTGTGGCCTTTCTATGTGACTGTGAACCTCCGGCAGTCCATCACTTCACGGATGCCACTGCAGCAAAGTCCATGATGGAGCGCAGTGGGGTAGGTCGAGTGCGTCACCTCTCGGTGCGCGTACTCTGGACGCAACAGCTTGTGTCAGAGAAGACCGTGATCTTGCACAAGGTTGGTACCAGTACCAACGTGGCAGACCTGAATACCAAATCCCTGTCACGGCACCGCATGTTGATGTTGCTCAACCTACTTGGAGGATGGGACACCCTCCTTGAGCGCCCTGTCGGCGAAGATGAGATTGCCGAGTTTGAGTACAGACAGGCCATGAAGCAAGCTGTTCGTGCTGTGAGGACCACCACCTCAGGTCCCGTGAGCAAGCAAGTGCTTCGAGGCATCGTGCTCGCCGTCGCAAGCGCCTTGGGCAAGGCCGCGGACGACTCAAGTGGTGACGGCGACTTTAACGATCGGGACGTGGAGCTTCCTGAGTGGGCCAGCCGAGTACTTGTTTGGGTCCTAGGCTTGTGGGTGCGCGATGATAGTGGCATGTCCATTGTGGACACGGTGATGAATCACATTGTCACCGTTTGCATTTGCGTTTTGCTTCTTGCACTTTGCGTGTACATGTGTTGCTTTAGGAGCAGACCTGAAAGACATGTGCAAGTGCATATTGCAGATCCGGGGCACACCGGCTCAGTGTCCGTACGCTTCAACCAAGATCTGAATGTCCATGTTGGTGTAGCCGCCCCCGGAACTCCTGCAAATCCGTATGCCTTTACCAGTGATGAGGAACAGGCGAGCCCTCCGCATGTGCTTTCAGCTGCGCGCAAAGGTGCAAGGTCCAAGGCTGTTGCCAAGCCGGGCCCTAGGTGTGCCGAGCAGGCTTCGTCGAGTGAGGCGCCTGGTCCATTTGCACGTGGACCTTTGCATGACGTACCTGTTGCTCCTGTGCCAGCGCCAGCGCCAGCGCCCGTGACGCCGCAAAGCAGTTCCGAGTTGTCAACGCAATCTTTCAGAGATTTGAATGGCTTTCCGATTGCCAGGGCACGAAGGATGCAGCACCCCAACACTTGCGTTTGGACAACTGTGTATGGCAGGTGCTACCATAAGCTGTCGTGCTTCAAGCTTGACAACTGTGACAGAGTCAAGCGTCATGAGCGTGCAGATGCCATCGCCCGAGGTTACCGCCCCTGCAAGAAGTGCAATCCTTGAGCGATGATGGACGGAATCTGAAACCATTTTCTCTTGAGACAACCTTGTGATGTTCATGATGCGGCATCTTCATGGTGTCATCATTCGGGCAGCGGCCAGCCGGCACAGCTGTGGGGTTGACACCATGGGATACCTTGTACAAAGGCTGCTGTACATAGCTTCAGATGCTCATGTTGCTGAGCCGCGGGCTCCTTACCTTCTGTCGCTTGCAGTTTCTTGAACGATCACTTGAGCGAATCTCTTGAGAGTCATGGTGCATTTTGCACCATTAATCCTGTGTGTACGCATGCCATTTTGGCAAACCCGAATGTGAGTGCACTTTGAGTGCGCAGCTGATGACTTGTGGCGATGATGAATGCCGCCACAAACCTTGAGACAAGGTTGCAATACTTTTGGTCGTTGGTAGTTTTCCTTCGCTCGTTTTGCGTACAGGGCAGATGCTTTCTTGAGTATCAACTTTGCATTTGCATGAGCCGACATGAATTGTGTATTCCTCACATTGCGTCCTGCAGCAGCTTTGATCACTTCTGTTGAGCGCTGCCACTTTGTTAACACGTTATAGCGGGTCCGCTTGCCCGAGTCAAGCCTTCAACAGCAGGAGCACATCGCCCAGGGCAGTGTGTTCCGGCTTCCGTAGGCAGTCTGTGCGACCGCACCTGTAGGGTAGCTGGTAGCTTTATGTAGTTCAAGCCAAAGACCTTCATGGCAGTGCTTGTGAGCAGAAGTGCATGCTTTGGGAGCTGTAAACTCTAGTTACGTTGTCTTCGCACTGGTATACCGGCCTTAGCTGTAGC